CCAGCCCCAGAGGTAGCCAGATGATGCTCGGTCTCCTAATGGAGCTTGACAGCCGCRGGATTAAAAGCACAAGTGAGATCGCAACCCCTCTGCAATCAGCTCCAGCCCATAAAGAGCTGAAGCAGAAAAGAGCCGTCCCGGCTGCGGGGAGGGCTGCGAGGGGAGACACACACAGTCAAACGCCGCAAGCGAGAGGCCTTGCCAGTAACTCGCCCCTGCATCGAGACGCGCCTGCMTGCAACGTGCTGCAGCCCCTGCCCTGCTCCCAGGGTCTCCTGTGCCTTCGTGCTCCCAGATACCACCCTTATCCCATCCCAGGGCTCTGGGAGCAGCTACAGGAGAGGACTGGGGAGACCAAGATGGGAGAAAAAGGGAGAAGCAGGAGGAAGCAGCAGTCTCCGCATTGCAGCTAGCAGCTCAGCCCCACACAGGCACCCATCACACCCACCGCTCTCCATCCTGCCCAAAGCCTCCAGCCCCTCTCCAAGGTGAACCCCAGTGCAGGGGCAAGGTGGCCAGGTCCACAGGGAGTCTGCCAGGACAGGTCGAGGTCCTGAGCACATCATGCTCTCCGTGCAGCAGCTGCCGCAGGCACTCAGCTGCATTCCTGCCCCAGCAGCTCGGAGCTCCCAGCTAAGTGCAGGCAGGGAAAACCAGGGCTTTCTACTGAAAAAAAAATAATTATTTTTTTTAAAAAAACAAAGCCCACTCCAGAGACTGGTGCATGTGCTTGGGAGCCGTGAGAAGAGTCGATATTTTTATTTTTTAAGCAGAGTGCTTGAGCTAAAATGATAGCTGCAGCTCAAGACCCTGTTTGCAGTGACCTGCACTAACAATGTGCTTTCTCCTCTTTTTTTTTTTCCCTCCCCCTTGTCAAATGGAAAGAAGAAGAAATCCTTTCAGGTCAGAGGAAAGAAAAGCAGTTACTTGCAGGTCACATGCAGCAATCCCAGTCAGGCTTGAACGCCGTTTTACCCCCTCCCAAAAGAGGAAAGGATTCAATTTCCATCTGAAACGCAAGTGTTTGCAACACACAAAGATAAAGGCTTTGACTTCCAAAATGCTTGATTTTGGTCTAAAAAAACCTCAAAGAATCCTTACCAAACCCAATACAAGTGCTATGGCAGGCAGGTGGCATGCCAAATTGCCCCTTTGCAGCCCCACCACCCCCTCTCCCCASGGCACCCAGAGCCAAAGCCAGGACGCAGGCTCGGTGCCACAGGCACAGGTAGCGTTGCGCTCTGCTCCCTTTGCTCCCTGAGGCATTTTCCTCTTTTTGCACCGCCTCGAGCAAGGGATGTACAAACACGGAGCTGCTGGGCATGAGAAGTGTGATCTGAGCTGTGTCAGGAGGAGGAGAAAATCCACCATGGAATGGCATGCTCACCTCCTAAATCCTGGGCATAGGACAGACCAAGGAAGAAAACTACACGAGGAGGTAGAGTTTGGCGACACGCTTGAAAGGATGTGGTGAAAACTAGTCGCTGCTGGTAGACAACACGCAAACAGCCAGAACTCCCTGGAAAAGCATTGCCTGCCCCATTAGGAGCAGCGGAGAAGTCCGGTGGGGCCAGAGCAAAGGAGAAGGTGGCGAGCAGGGGCAGCCAGTGGCAAGGGGAGAGCCGTGGATGTTGTCTACCTTGACTTCAGCAAGGCTTTTGACACTGTCTCCCATAACATCCTCATACGGAAGCTCCGGGAGAGTGGRCTAGACGAGTGCACGGTGCGGTGGATCGAGGGCTGGCTGGATGGCAGAGCTCAGAGGGTGGTSATAAATGGGGCCGAGTCCAGTTGGAGGCCTGTGGCCAGTGGTGTCCCCCAAGGGTCAGTACTGGGCCCAGTGATGTTCAACTTGTTTATCAATGACCTGGACGAGGGCACGGAGTGCACCCTGAGCAAGTTTGCRGATGACACCAAGCTGGGTGGARTGGCCGACACTCCGGAGGGCTGGGCTGCCATCCAGAGGGACCTGGACAGGCTGGAGAGTTGGGCAGAGAGGAACCTCATGAGGTTCAATAAGGACAAGCGCAGGGTCCAGGCATCAGTACAGATTAGGGGTGGACCTGCTGGAAAGCACCTCCCCGGAGAGGGATCTGGGAGTCCTGGTTGACACCAAGTTAACCATGAGTGAGCAGTGTGCCCTCGTGGCCAAGAAGGCCAATGGCATCCTGGCCTGCATCAGGAGGAGTGTTGCCAGCAGGTCAAGGGAGGKGATTCTGCCCCTCTACTCAGCTCTGGTGAGGCCGTACCTGGAGTACTGTGTTCAGTTCTGGGCACCCCAGTATAGGAGGGACGTGGAGCTTCTGGAGAGGGTCCAGAGAAGAGCAACCAGGATGATTAAGGGAATGGAACATCTCTCGTATGAAGAGAGGCTGAGTGAGCTGGGCCTGTTTTCTCTGGAGAAGAGACGGCTCAGAGGGGATCTGATTAATATGTATAAGTTCAGGAAGGGAGAATGCAGGGAGGAAGGGGACAGGCTGTTCTCACTGGTGGCCAGCGATAGGACGAGGGGTAATGGCCACAAACTGAAGCATAAGAAGCTCCGTCTCCAGGTGAGGAGCAACTTCTTTACTGTKAGGGTGACAGAGCAGTGGAACAGGCTGCCCAGGGAGGTTGTGGAGTCTCCTACTCTGGAGGTCTTCAAAACCCGCCTGGATGCCACCCTGTGCCACATGCTCTAGGTGTGCCTGCTTGAGCAGGAAGGTTGGACTAGATGATCTCTAGAGGTCCCTTCCAACCTTAAATATTCTGAAATATTCTGAAATATTCTGAAAAGGGCCGGCAGCTGCCTCAGGGCTGCATCTCTCCCGTGACACCCCTCGCCTCCGAGACCCACACAGACCCACACGGACAGCTGCGCTTTCGGTCTATTAGTTCTCCAGAAAAAGAGCCCTGGGTCCCACATGGAGCTGGAAGCCCCCGAGACCCTGACAGAAGGGGGCAAGGGGCAGAGACACGAGGAGAGCTGACCTCAGACACTGCCTTGTAGCGTGGGGCCCCTCRGCAGCACCCAAGCCACCCGTCGCAGGCCTTCACTGATGCTGCACGCATGGCTGGCACGCGCGRCAGCCCTCGGCCTCCCCATCCCCGGCAGCACCAGCTTGTGGCCATCTGTCCCCCGCTGCTAATTTACCATTTCCGCCAGCCGGCAGAAAAGGTGCTGGAGCAGCACATTCCCAGCTTGGGCTTCTCCCAAGCACCGCCTGGCGCTGCTGACATCAGCCCTCCCACCACGGAGCAGGGAGGACACGTGGGGCCGCTCCCACTGCTGCCCCCCTCGCCCTCTCCCCCCGCTCAGCTCTCCAGCTCCAGCACAGTGGCAGTTGTCATCAATTGTTGGGGTTAGTGCAGCGGTGAGGACACGAGGAGGTCGTGGGCACCCGCAACAGCAAAGTCTTGGTCAGCCAGGCCCCCAAGACCAGGTCTGTGCTGACTGCTGCCACGGAGCCAGGACACATCATGAGGGAACAGGGCCATGAACCTCACAATGAACAGAAAGAATCAGGGGCATCCAGATACCTGCTAGAGAAAGAGCCAAACTTTGCTGCCGCCTCATGTCCGCCCTCACTAGCCTGGCTAGGTGACMCCCCACCCCAGCACTGAGGCCAGGACGAGGCATCACCATGCCAAGTGGCACAAGTCAAGGGTTTCTACTGGAGCTTGTTTAGGTCCTGTGTCCTGCTAGCTCAAGAGAACTCCAGCATGAGGACACTTACCCCAGGATACTGCCCTCCTCCTCTCCTCGTGGTAGCAGCAAAAGCCACCATCTCTCAGGCCGATTTGCTCAGCTCATCATTCCCATCCTACTTTACCAGGTGCCATTCTCCCCTTATGGACAGAAACAGCCAGGAAAGCAGGTTTTCCAAAGAGGAAAAGACTCAACAGGTCCCTCCTCCGCAAGGAGCTGGAGAGCAGGTGGCCAGAGGCGCAGCACTCGGAGCAGTGCTCCCACACCGCAGCCCAGCAGAGCCGCTGGTTTGGGCCACACGGAAACCACCCAGCACAGCCCCTCTCACTTGGGAGAACAAGGAGCCCCTTCCCGTGATTTCAGAAGCCAGAAGGACACAAAATGCCTCTTTCCTACCCACTGCACCCATGCAATGGTCCACAGTGACATTCAAACACACTTGTGGAACTCCCTGGGCCCTGGCCATGCTCTCCTATGCTGGTCCTTCCTCCTAAACTCCTGCACCTCCCACCCCGAGCTTTTAAGATTTTTATGCTGGACCACTATCAATTCTCATGTGGATATTAAACCCTGTTTGGAGCTTTTCTGGATGGTTCACAGTGAAGCAGCATCACGCTTGAGGCATGCTTGTGGGTTGGCCCTTGCTCACCCAGAAGCRCAGAGGAACACAGTGTAGGCACCAAGCAAGCGACCTCCGTAGCAGCATTCAAAACCAGCCCACATACATTTTCACAGCTTTATTCTGCATTAATAAACCCAATACCAAGAGAGAACTGCATAAASAATGCTACTGTACCATGCATGAAAATGAATATCCTCTTTAAGGACAGCATTTCTAGTTAAGTTCAGGTCATCTGTTCAACCAGCTTCCCTAGTGCATGTAAAGCACCATCAACAGGTCTATCACACAGCATCTCTGCAACACCCCCCTCCTGCTGCTCCAGCTGCTTCCYAAAAGGATAATTCCTGACCCTTGATCACTCAAAAAGGGTCATAAAACTAATTTCGCTTTCGGTGGCCTTCAGCAAATACTCTCCTGGTMCAACACCAGCACTGAGGCCATGCTTGGAACAAGTACAACTAACCACCTTGCAGCATAAAACACAGTCCTGTGCTGAGAGCAGTCTTGGCACCAAAACCACAATACGTGTAACTTTCGGAGGCCACGAAGACTCAGCATCTCCCTCCATGCCTGTGAATTACATGCAAAATACCACTCCTGCAGGATACAAGTTATATTACTATTGCCCTCTGCTGAAGTTATTGAAAGCCCTGGGAAGGTCTTTGCTTCATATGCACGTCTGAAAGCAGTCAGAGCAGAACATGGGCAACACACCAAGCTTCAGAATATGTAAGAGAGGATTCCTGGGGCTTCATATGTGCTGCATCCTAAATCATCAACAAATTAAAGTGTCTTTTTCTTGGGGTAGATAATTCTTTTTCTTTTTTTTTTCCAGCTTAGCAGCATTCAGAAAGGTGGCAGCCTAAGCTGGGATATAACTGAAAAAGAAGTTCTGACCACGTGCCTGTACCCCTAGTCACAGTCAAAGCTGCACTTAAGAGGGTTCAGCTTTCCCTCTCTGCACCTCAGAGGGTGCAACATAGTACAGCACTCAGATGTTCTTTCAAAACATTAAAGAGGAATAAATCAGTACAACTTCAATACAACAGGAACATAGCCTATTTTCCTAAAAGTGAACGTTACATTTAACACAGATACAGGGCATATCAGGGAAGATGCCAGATCCCAAGATCCAGGGATGAAATGCTTCCAGACCAAAGAAGCGACAGAGCAGCGAGGGCTCTGTGCCCTTCGGCAGCTGCTTCAGGCACAACTTCTCAACTTCTTTGCTCTCTTCACATCTCCTTTCTCAGGCTTGGGAACCACTGGAAGAGGCCACTGGAAGCAGCCAACCGTGCAGCAGCTCCCAGCGTTGCAGAGGGTGAGGTAGGAGGAACATAGAGCTTCTGATGGGCCTCCTGGTCAGCCGGCCTACTGGCACTGCCAAGGGCAACTGCATCTGTCTCAGGGAGGTCCTCGTCCTTTGTTTTATCTGCATGAGGAAGAAAACAAGGAAGACGGGATCTAAAGGGCTGCTCCAATAGTGCTAATTTAGATCAAATAAATAAATCGTATTTGCCTGGGCCTTTCCAAGCTGTGGAACAAGGGCTAACCTACAGGCCAATGCTGGCACAGTGCAATCCAGGAGCATCTCTCGCTCCCCCTCTAGTGCTCACTTCCATTTCCTCAAAAAAGGGAAAGCAAGTGTGACACAGGTCACTGCATCCCGAGGAGTGAGCCTCCATTTCAGAGGCAGGAGACCACTCTGYTCCAAGGCACTAACAGACACTGCTTTTGGACAAGTCACTTAATACAGCTTGTAAACTGGGCAATTTTCCCAATGTCTTGTAAATTCATTCATGATTTAGAAGACGGAAAGGCCAAGACTCCCTAAGGTGGTCTTATGAGGTTAGCAAACAAAACAAAACAAAAACACAAAGAGACAAAGAAACAAAGAAAAAAAACTTTTCCTGCTCAGAGATTCCCAGAATGAAGGGAACGTACACTAACAGAGAGAGAGAGGCAGACACCTGCATGAAAATACCAGAAAGTCTGGAAAAGACTGCAAAAAAATCAGAGAGGAAAAAAAACCCCACCCCTTCCTTATTCATTGTCCCCATTAGATATTTAGAAATTCATTTTGCTGCATCCCCACCCCAGAGAAATCCCCACTTTTCCATCTGTTCTAGCAAAGTGACTGCCCAGGCCCCTAACACAACAGTAGACTGCCCAGCTTTCCTCGGTGCTCAACTCTACTAACAAATCTATTCGTACTGTTACACTGGTCCAAGACAAATGGTGTTGCCAGAAGCAGAACAGAGGCAGGTACAGCTTCAAAAAGTCGGGCCTTGTTAGAACAGCTTTCTGTCTGATCAGGGTCTTCTCGGCTTGTTTCTGCTGGCTGGCTGGAGTAGATGAGGGAGATGTAAAAGTCTTCCAGTGACTTGGATAAGACAGCAGACTTGGAGGACTCTCCAAGAGAATGTGGTGTCTGCAAATGTATATATAAAAAAACCTCAGGAGATGTGCGATTAGTGCATACTCAGTTCATTAGCTGCTCTGATCTTTGTTATCCTTCAGAGGCCAAGCAGGACTGGAATGTCAGCAACTATATATTTTTAAAAATATTAGTTACTCACAAGCTCGCCAAAGGGCGGCTCTTACTGCAGAGCAAGCTGAAAAGCTGACAAGACGCCCTCTCTTAGCAAAGCACTAGCAGCTGGCTGCTCTCTCAGCCCCACGCAGAGCGAGTGATGGCAGTGATGGAGGGAGTTTCTGCAGGTCTGAGGAAGTCCCTCCATGCTTTTGGTTAAGAAAACAAATTAAATTTAAGTTTCAGAGATGAGCACCTGTGTCTCGGCCACAAACACTGACTGTAGCCAATATATGTACTTATTAATTCAGCATGGAGGAGATGACAATGGGCCAACCAACACCAACTCACAATTCTCTTGGTATAACCACAGCTGATCAAAAACTCTTTGGCAGCTCTCTAGGCTTTTCCTAGGGAGAGGGAAACCTCCCATCTTCAGGAGAGGGGAAATTACCATCTGGACGCCCCCCTCTCACTGCTGAGAGGCGAGAGTGTTGTTCAGAGCACTAGCTAGTCCAGAACATTTTTTTGTTTGTTTTCAGAAGTCAATTTAAGTAATTTAACCTGGGCACAGCACTAGGACCACGAGGAGCTCTTGAAACAGGTATGAGAGCTGGATGGCTGGGCAGATGTTGGSTGCTAACAAAACACCAAGACAGAATGATCTGAATGAATGAGGTATTAGAGTCCAACTCACTAGCTACTCACCTTGACACCACCAGCCTACAGAAAAACTCTGCCTAACATGCAGCAGAAGAAAAAAAGATTGTCAGGACAAGAGCAAACAGAGTTGACAGATAAAAAGTCTCCTCTCTTGCCACCCATGCTGTCCTACCTGTGGGGACAATTTCACTCCTGCCCCTTCAGGGCAAAATAGGAACAGACAGGAAGCAAGGGGGACAGAGAAAACCTCTATGAGTATTGGAAAAAGCTGGGATGGAAGTAATTCAAAAAGACCGAGACTGTTCAGTTTAGAGAAGGAACAAATGAGACGGGATACCCTAGACAGTACTGTGAAGGGCAGCAAACATGTCAGGCAATATCTGCTCTTCATCCTAATGCACTCGGGGACACTAACACCATCCTGTGACACTGTTTGTAGATTCAGCTGCTWCAAAGATCCACTCAGGCCAAGAGATGAGCAGGTATCAGAGAAAGGAAAACCTCCTGTCCCAAGAGCTAGCTGGCTGGAGCCCAGTGCCCAAAGGCAGGATCCCTCCACTTCCCTCATTTACTACATAGCTTTCCTCAATAGAAAGGTTTGTCACTTCTAGAGACTATAGCAAAGACCCCGGCAAGGACAACAGGCTCAGGACTCATCTAGTTAGGAATTCCTGCRCTTCTAAAGCCACAAGGTTTAATGCTTGCAGCAGAATGTTTGAGACACCTCTGGCAAGCTACCCACCTGCCTTCATCTCCTCTTCCTTGATCCTCACACTGGTCGTCACTTAATTCCTCTTCGTTCAGGTCACTCTTCCTAGCCTGCTTCCTCTCCACCTCCTCCAGGCAACATGTCCTAGACCCACCGTTTTTTTCTAGGTCTGCCCTAGCCTATTTGAAAGTCAGCTTTCCACTCATCATTCAGGATGTGCTTTGTCTGTGCTAACACAAGGTATGGACATGTGAGGAGCTCTAAGCACCCACAGCTTTGTAAACCAGCTCTGCATGTTGCTCTATGACTCCCTGCCCTAGCCCCAGCAGTATCACACTGCCACGTTGTAAGAAGCTGCCTCCAGTCCACTGCATGGAGAAAAAGGTGGTGAGGGTCAGATTTGATCTAGAAAGTGTTGAATCGATCCCTCTTGTTTCTGCAATACCTTGTGGTGTACTCAGAGCGTAAGAGAGCAGCGCGGATGGAACATGCACCAGCATGCTATCAACAGCACCAAAAACCTCAGCAAGGAGCTCTGAGTTCACGTTAGTCGCCAGTGGTTATTTCATCTCCCCTTCTGAGATACAGTAAAACAATCAGAGGTCTCTCAACAGCATTAGCCAAGAAAAAATGCCCTTACCTTAACCACTGTCGTAAGCTCTGGGGTGCTTTCATTGGTATGCTCCTTTGCAAATTCAGGTTCTTCATTCATTGTTTTTGGGACATCTASCTGACTCAGAGGCGGCCACATATCATCCCATATCTCTTTCTCAGCTGAAAAGAGCCATGCCTAAGGAGAGGCAAAAAACAAGAAGAGACTCGGCTGGTGTGGGCAGACGAAAGTGGAAGGCACTGCGGCCAATCTACTACACAGAATACAGAGCAGTGAGATCTCGCCTGGCATTAACTATCCGGAGGGAGGGAGGAAGGAATTCCCTCTACCCTGAGAGACACTGTAACGTGTCTTTCTGAAGAAGCTTTGGCAATCTGGAGAAGGAATAAAAAAAATATAATCTAAACAAGAAACTAGCTGTCACTAACTTCTCTTACCTCCACAGGAAAAAACTTATATCTACTGAATAAAATTTCATTTTCCAAACGTTAAATTTTACGGTTATTGCAGCCTTCTGAAAAAAACTTCACCACGTGGAAGGGCTCCAATCTAGCAGAATGCTCAGTCATCCTATAGTTGGAGAGGGCAAGAGGAGACTGGACAAAACGGTAACAAGTTGTTAATCCCGATGAGGGAAATTAAATTTGGCAACACAAAGAGTTTCCCTGCTGCTTAAGAACAGTTACCAGGACATGCTAGCTCAGCAACAACAAGTGTCACATTAGACACCTTTCAGTTTAAACCATTTTGGAATCAGACTCCCCAGATCTTTCTGTTAAATCAAAGTACAGAGTCAAGAGAAGCRCAACCAAAGGATGTTTAAAACTCCAAAATAATTTCTCCAAGGGCATTACTCGAACCTAACCTGTTGTAGTGGCTCTTGGATTTGCTGTTTCTCACTTTTTCCTTCATCACTGACAGACTGGATGGGAAACGCCACCGCATCCAAAGCTACGGTGCCGCCACTGACACGAGTGTCCTCCTCAACAGTTTGCAGAGGGAGTTTCTTCTTGTCCCAGAAATCTGAGGCCATGTAGACTGGCTCTAGGTATGGCATCCCTGGAGACCAGCTTGCCTCATCCTAGGAAGTTTGCCCAAGAAAAAGGAAACTTAGTAAATCTCTAGAGTAAGGCATAAATTCAGAGCCATTTAACTGAAGGACCGACTAGACTAGAACTCTACCTACCACACCTGKACTTCCATGCTTTAAATAAGAGTTTCCTCTTCTCTGTTCCACAAAGGTGGCTCTGCCAGTTCGTTAGAGTTAGTCACAAAGACAAAGCAGTGCAGAGCCATGCTCAGAACCACYGCAATGTTGTCTCCAGGTAAGAAGTTTCAGCTTAAGATATACAACAGTYGACTCAGACATCTCTTGAAGGTCGCTTGTTTTTGCAAATAAAATAAACTTCATTTCTTAGATTTTATTATCCCCTGGTTCTCACTTTCATTTACTAGTATTTATGCTATTCTGGTATATTTTTAATGGCAAATTAATCAATGAACATCCCTTAAATACTCAYTGGAACCAGAAAAACAATTAGCTGCAACAAGTCTAAGTACTGAAATGTAATTTCAGACACTTGAAAGCATTGAATCACATTCCACTTCGATTATTAGATCCACAGATTCCAGGAGGATGGGCATCTCATTTTTTGAGGCAACAAATACACATATTAAAGTGAAAAGTCCATTTCTGCAAAAAAATAGTTTAAGACATAAACTTCTATGGACTATAAACTAGTCCATTTCTCTYTATAGCTGAGTAACAAGGCTTACAAAAATGAAATGACCCCTCTAAGGTCACCTGAATCACCTATCAGAGGGCCAAGAATTAAATCAAGATTTGCAAAGTCTTAATCACACACTTAAGTGAAGAATTACATCAATTTCTTCCCAGTAAAAAAATTAAGAAGTTGATTCAAGACTTTCAGTTCAGATGATATGTTAATCTTCAGCAGGACAGGGCCATTAATACCCTCGACAAACAGCTTATGTAGTTTCTCTAGTACAGATATTTAGATTGCTAAAACAAAACCTAAGCAAAATAAGCTCTTGAAGAATTACTAACATCCCACTAACTTTTGTGCTAATTTCAGATTTGTATTCTGAAAAAACATGAGGGAAAACACTCCTTCAAGAGGCACGCTGCTCAACACTTCAACCACTGACACCTTCCTGAAAGGTGCTTGGGCCTCTGTGTTAAGAAGTGTCATGAAAATGCTGCAATATAAGTAGTAAAGGAAAGCAGAGAACACATCAGTAAAGAATTATTCCTGGCGTTCCTAATGGCAGCACATTAGGTTGGACTTAAGACCTATGTTTTACACCCAGCTTAACTGTGCTCACCAGCAAGACCCGTAATGCAAAAAACACCCAAAGCTCTGTTCTTTACCGACACCTGAATGACACCCCCAATTACTACGCAGCCTTTGCTAAATGTGAGTGTAGGGAAGACACACCACCTTCCCACTACAGGAGGGGCAAAAGGGAAGTGTGTTAGGTCAGGCTGATCTCAAGAATCAGGCACTGCGGTGAGTTCTTCAGAGAGTCCATTCTCTCTAAGAAGTGAAGGTGCATGAGAACTGCCAAGATACTCTGACAGATTGAGGCCAGAGGAATTCAGTGAGCTGACAGGGTAAAGTGATCTGARGTCAAGCATCTGGAGACGTGTCCATGTTCCTCTTGTAATCACTTTTATATTGCAGTCCTGCTTGTCCTTGTTAAAAATAATAATAATTGAAAAATCCACTCTCAACTGCAGGGAACTAAAATAATGTATGACACCAAACTTGGTGCTGATTTATAGCTACAGCACAGCCAAATGCCCACCTGGTCACACAGGTCACCCTTGTCAAGCCTTGAACTGGCTGTTGCACTGTTTGCACCTAGAGATTCCAGCTGCAAGGGAGGCTCAGGCTCTCCCACTCCAGCACTCTCCTGCTTTGCACTGGGCTGGGCATACAAGGCCAATGGATTCAGCTCCCGGAATCCCTAGTAATGGATAAAAGAAATAAACAAGGAAAAAAAAAAAGAAAAAGATCACAGAATAGCACAGTCAAAATATTTTGAAACAGCTACAAAAGGACAAAAAAAAAAATCAGCAATTTTCTGAACATTTTAAGCAGCAGCACACCACCTTCAGGGAAGCTCCAAATTCTCACAGAAATTATCTTCTTGCAAAAATCAACTTGCTTCCCTCCAACTGCAAAAYTATTCAGCAATGTCCCCCTCCCTACAAAACTGGATATTCCCATGCAATCAGMGGATATAATCCTGCTAAAACACTCATTCATTCTGCAGAAGGCTGATTCAAATGAAGACAAGCACTCTGGACTGTAAAGCCTGCCTTTCCGACGAGTTATAAAATCACGACAGYATCTTTCTAATGGTTGTCATTATCCCTACCATTCTTACTGCAACTGAGCTGAGACATCCAAATAATGTCATAGATGGACCCAAGTCATTACTGTCCCCTGTACTGGTTYACAACCTCAGTACAAAATACCATCTGCTGTGGCCAGGCAGTCCTGCACTGCMTAGTTCCTTGGCCAAGTACAATTTTAACCAAGATATATTTCAGTTTGTTAATGGTGTAAACAGCTTTCCGTGATTAGCGAGGAGGAGGTTATTTGACTATTCTGTCCCCCATCCACGTGCCCCTGCCTCTATGACTTGACTACTTAACCAGAGTCTTAGCAACTGAGGTGTTCGGATGAATCATGAGCCTCAAATTACAACAGGCAAAACTAGCTGAAACTAGCAACAGGTGGGAAAGAATCTAACACATCTCTTAACATTTCAGTTTGGTCTGATGCTCAGAACATCTGTGGCTATTCTACAATTCTGCATTATCTATAAACAACATAAAGAKTCCAGATGAATCTACAAACTCATCAACTTAAAATTGAGTTTTCTAATTCTAATTAGCTACGACATTATGGGATGCAGACACAAGGTGCTCAGTTAKAGGTTTTGTTCATTCAGTTCAGAGCTACTTGCTTCAAAGAAAAGACTGGCCTCGTACAGATATCCAAGTCACCCTTTCACTGCCTCCTGACCTGGGAAGGGATGTTTTCTCTGCAGATCTCTGCATGTCCTTCACTCTTCAAGACRTTGTGGAAGTAGATATCCCACTCGGAGGATGTGTCACACAAGAAGAGATGCAAAACGTCATCCACATATTCATCCACAATGCCCACAAGCAGCTTTGAGCCACACAGTCTCCGGAATTGGAGGGTTGCTGCATCAGTCCACGTGCCCTCCAAGAGAAACAAGGGTGAGAAGTTACTATGAATGAGCCAGCATCAGTTGCCCTAGACCTTCCTCTACATGTACTGGTCAAACARACAATTAGGCTAAGTCAGGCTTAGGGCAGTAACTGAAGAGTCAGAGAAGTCTCCCATAAATTAGGCTACCCAAAAGTCTGCAATGCACCTTACCACTGGACATTCCCTTTAATTACCTATTTCCAAACATAGCACAATGGCATTTGCTCTCTAAAATACTGGGATTTTTAACAAAAGTCACAGTTTGTGGAATCACGGAATTATGTGACTTGGAAAGTCTCACAAGCTTTTAAAGAAGCCGCTAAGTCCGAGGACAAAGGAAAATGGGAATCGCTAACCTCCTAAAAATGGGAAACAAGTGCAGTGAAAATGCACTTCAAGTACCACTTGTAAAATTCAGGCAGCAAGTGTGCTTGCTTTTCAAATCTSTGTTCTCAGGCTTTTTGAACCAAGGATTTCCCAGCACAGGCCACGCTCTGTAACTCTTTGGCTGCACTGACTGCACCAAASTAAATCTAAAGCAACTCACGTGAAGCAAGGTCATGGGAAGAAACATTAAAACCAGAGGAACCTGTGCTGAAACTACCAAAGCTACAGAGGGACCACGGAGAGCTACTGGGAAAGAAAGAAGTTTTCTCATTTCTTTAATGATAGCCATCTGTTTCTAAAACCATGTAAGCAAGAATACTCTGCACCTAATGAAGATGCACTGTGGAAAGCTGATTACTTGTTAAGAGACAGACATGTCCAGCCACATTCTGCTACATATGGGGGGGATTCTGCTATGAACATGAGCGGCACCTACATTGATGTCAATGCTTGCCAGTATCAAGACAAAGTCAAATACCACTTGGCAGTTGCACACAGGCCAGTAAACAACAACAAACCTGAACACGAACCTCTATGGGTTTTACCCATGCCAAGGAACATGGGATCACCTGAGCAGGGAGCTTCAAGTAGCACCACCTAAAAGGAAAAACAAAGGCATCATCATCAGCACTGCAAACCACCCAGTAAAAACTGCTGGAATAGCTGAACTTTCTCCTCTCCTGGCTTTTAAAATCCAACAATTACCTCTGTTCTTTGGGGGATTTTGCACTTATGAATAAAACTGATAAACTGCTTTGGAAGAGATTTCATATGCAGAGATATGAAACAGCAGAGCAGGTATCCACACATACAAAAGGCATAGTAGAAGAAAACAGCAGTAACCAGTCCCCTATGCTTTCCTTTACCCAAAGCATAATCTCTTATGATTACCAAGTTATAGTCTGAGAGAAATGACTGTTGAACCACCAAATGCCAATGGCTATGCATGAAGAGGCAAAAGAGAGCAAAAAACCCTGTGTCACAAAGGAGAATGTTGATACAAATGCTTAGACTGACACTCATTCACAAGGATGTTTACACTGGGTCACAAAACCCACGAGGAAGGATTAGACATGTGCCTCAAAATGACTACAAGTAACGAGAGGCAAAGCTAAGAAATAAAGGCAGAAATGCCGAAAGATTGCCCCAAGGTCACCCCCATGTTTCCTGCAACACTTACTTGAGGAATCTCAGGCGAGACCTTGGAACAAGGCCCAGGTTTCCAAAATCCGCGTAGAAAACCTCCACGTTGTGCTCACTGAGCACACGGTGGACGATAACKCGGTACCACCACTTGTCCTCGGAGATCATGACACAGCAAAGTTGCCCGGGCTGCACTGAGGACTCGGGCATGATGTAACGATCAGAAACCATTTTATTTGAGTAACAGCGTCTGCAAAACACCACAGGGAAAGCCCGTGTTTGGCAGGATGCAGGAAAAGAGCATCAAGGAACATGCAGGGGCTCCAAAAAATTCCCGGATTTCTTAAAGCACCCATTACATGCATTTTCAGGCATTCAGCCTAAAGCAGAACTCAGAAAAGCTCCCACAGTCAAYACAAGTGTTCAGAAACACCACGCAGGGAAGCATACAGGAGAGACCTATAGTCTATCTGTATTGTTCTTACACCACACACAAACCACACATACTACAACACATTATTCATTTGGCTTTCATCAACACATTTTCCACCACTAGCTAGTCACGACTGAGCCCTGTCTGCTACCACGTATGCCAGCAACTGAGCTGTTTTAAAGGATGTTTTACATCTGTGTTGCAGTGAATATACACTGAAACRACAAAGTAAAATAAATGCAAGTCTAAACTTTAACACTTGAATGTTCCTCTTGGGATTCAATGGTAAGGGAATTAAGAGAAGAAGTTAAAATAGTCATTCAAGTCGAGAGCTCAGCATCAGATGAGCTTTCAGTCTCTGCCATTTCATTCTGAACTTCTGCTGAAAAAAAATGTGAAGAATGAGTTTGTTAACTCATCTTAAAATGAATTATCATCCTCAGTGTCTCTGCAGAATCTGTAACTACACTTAGTRCACCCTATGAGAGTCAAGCATCTGCTTTAGCACAGAATTCGGGAGGAACTGCAGCACTGCTGTGGTGTAAGGGACTGGAGCATCTMTCTTAAGGAAAGGAAAGACCAAGTGAGTGAGGCTTCACTGTTTAGCCTGGAGAAGACTGAGAGGGGATCTGATCAATATGTATAAGTACCTGAGGGAAGAGTGTAGGGAGGARAGGACCAAACTCTTTTCAGTGGTGGGCAGTGATAGGATAAGGGATAATGGGTCCAAGTGGGAAATGGAACTCCCTGTGTTTCATGTGGGAAAGAACTTCTTGCTGTGAGGGTGCCAGAGCCCTGGAACAGACTGCCCAAGGAGGCTGTGGAGTCTCCTTTTCTGGAGATCTTCCAAACCTACCCAGATGCGACTGAGTGCCCCATGCTCTGGATGTGCTCTAGGGATCCCTTGAACCCTCAGTCCTCCTGTGATTCTGAGAACCAAATCCCAAATGTATGATGCACTTGCCACAGTCACTGACAGGGTTGTGCTGCCAAATCCAGGCACGACAAAGGAACACTTTGCTAGTTAAATGGAGTAAGAAAGCATTCTGCACATATGCAGGAGGACATTCCACACATCTCTGCAAAGTCGAGCAGTGACCCCAACTCCTGGCTGCGTGTCCCATCCCCTCAGCACGGGCACACAGGACAGGCGGCAGCACCGAACCCATACAGCGTGTTCGCACCTCATCTCAATCATCAGATCCTGCAGCTTATCGGACGTCTCCTTGCTGCAGACCTGGATGTAGAACTGGCTAGGAGAGACGATGAACTCCACAAAGACTCCCACCAAACAGCTTCTCTCCAGCCGTGGCAAGCGGCAGAGGCTCTCGCTTTGAACAGCATCCAGGGGGATTTCTGGCATTGGCACCTCCATGGCTAGCAGGGAACACTCCAGAGCTCCAGGCTACAAAGGGTAAGAGAAAAGTGGCACTCGGATGTTTTGCCAGGTGCCGAGCACACATGAACAGTCTGTTAAGGTAAAAGCATTAGTTCTCCCTTTCCAAGGTCTTGTGAGGTACTGAGTATCTCAGAACTCTAGCAAAATGTGCAAGTTTATACTAAAACCTTCCCTGTGATAGGAGTACTCATTTCTCTCGCTCTTTCTTCCCTCTTCCCTCCCTCCAGGAAAAGGGTGGTGGAATAAAAACATCTTGCTCATACTCCTGCATAAAAGGAGAAGGAATCAAAGCCATGCTTCAAATTTAGACACAATATGTTTTGAGTTGAATTGCTATTGTTAAAAAAAATTCTATTTCTGTTGCATTTTACTCAAAAGATGCTATTTATAAGATCTGTGACCATGAAAGTGCATATGATTGAAACTGCAAAACACTATTTGAAAATTATTCAAAAGCAACAAAAGCATCTTGTTTTCACACTCAGCAAATGGCTATCATTAGAGATATTTTCTAGGACAACAAGCAAATAAAATCTACAAATTCTGATCTCACTCTGCACAAAGCTGCCCATGCAAGCAAGCTAGCACAGCTTACACATTTTTGTACTGTTCTTTAACTGTTTTATGTTGAAAAGGTTAGTTCACTTAAACTAGCGTAGAGGAGAACCTTGGCAGTACATTAGCTACCTTCCCTGCCTCAAGAGCTTTCTTTCGTGCCGATGAACAGCACTCTTCCAAAGATCAGAAGTCAAAATGATTGCATTTTTGCTCAGAGCGAACACACTACACGTTACCACTGCATTATACATTAGAGAAAGTATGCAAAACTTGCCTTCCAGCACACATACCACTAAACTTCAGCTGCAAATGAGGCTCCTCACAGTGGCGGCTCTTTCAAGCAATTTTCCAAGGTCTCTCCTTCTCAAAGCCTAAGCAAAGGCTAAAGCCCGTGAGGATTTTTTTGTGTGTGTGTATGCGTTAAAGATTTTGAGTAACACTGAACTAAAAACGAAGTTTGTGTTTCGAGTTCCAAAGAAACCGAGGAAATTCTTGCCTGTGAAACAGCAACTTTTTTTTTCTCCCCATGGATTACTTCCAAGTCTCTTTGAGCCCTTCGAACCTTTTTGACTCAGCCCTTTTCCCTCAGTTGTCCACTCAACGCTTTAATCGTTTGCCTCTTGTGCTGGGATATTTGGATACCTTCTAACACCATGGGGATCGGGTCTCTTCCTTCCCTTCTCCTCATAACCACCCGATCAATGACTACATTATATATCCTAACTGGTACACTTCAGCAACCTTTACTCCTTTTAGGGCCTTTTTTAAAAAACAAACAAAAAAAAAAAAGACAAAATTTACAGATTATTTTCATCAGAAATATTAGTTGCACAAACATCTTCTGAAATTTACCTTGCTAGGAGCTTTGAACATTTTCTTTYTGTAATATATAAGAACAAAGAACTTGAGTTTGAGGTTACCAGCACCATGCATTCCCTTTTGTCCTTCCCATATGCTCATTTTGTCCAACGTAGGGGAATTTCTTGAARATTTCACCACATCAAACTACAATTTCTTGGGCAGCCTGCACGAATCTCTCCAAGGTATGTTTATGTAATTCCTAATGCCAGGCTTCCAAGATCATTAGCAAACAAAACAGCCAAGTTAGATTCCAGGAGTTCTCCCTTTCTCCTACCTACGTGCTCCAATCCTCGAAAACCAAGACACATTTTTAAGTGGAAACATTCAACAGCCAACACTGTTTTATTTGCAGTTTAATTACTAGCTGCTGCTTTGCAGACTCACCGGTGACTTTGTGAGCACGCTGAACTTGTTGCTTTGTTTCAGGTCCGCATCCTCAGGCTTTCTGGGAGAGAAGTCCCGGGAGACGTCGGCAGCAGGAGGGGGCAGCGACCAACASGAGGAGTCCTCACATGGCCGCTGCTCATCTGGTGGAACTAAGAGCGCTACGTCAAAAACCGAAGCTCACGCTCATCCCAAAGCTGTTCCCTTCTACATTTGAAAACCAGCGAAATGTTTGTGTGCGAGAAGCAGAGCTAACACAAACGAGGGCAAATCCAGCAGAGAAAACGTTTACACTGAGTCCTTGCTGGGATTTAACGAAGCCTATCCAAACCTCTAACCAAGAGCATGGTGGTGCTTTCGAGGAGGTGTCAGAGCACAGTGTGCTCAGCAAGTTATTCTACACTTATACACGTTTCTTTCAAGTGGATGGCCTAAGTAAGGRAGACGGTTAAAACTCTTCCAGATACTTACAAAGCACAGAGAAAAAGAATCAATTTGTCTTCACACATCAAAAGTAAAGCGCATTTACTCCTTGTCCAGTTCAACACARTGATTAACAGTCAGTCTCCAATGGGAATGTCTCTAAAGGCTCCAAAAAAAATGCCTGTACATATGCAGACTCCAGAAAATGACCACAAAGCAAACTTCCATCTTGTGGGAGAATGGAGTAGCTACTGCTGAAAACCTCTACACCACAGTTTGAACGGATATCACAGCAAAAATACTCATTAAAAAAATCAGTATTTCCAATTTGTAAAATCAAATATTTTATTTCTGTGAAAATAATCTTGGTCACTAAAGAAAGGCAGACCAAGACACCACGGTAGTCATGACTAAGAAGATATAAACCACAGTAGCTTGCTTTAATCAGACCTGACTACAACTGATCCGCAAGACTATTTTGATGTAGCTTGAGGAATCTAGTTATTGGTTTTCATTAGAAAACAAACAGGTTAATATTTCTTTAGGTTTCAGGCACTACCCAGCTTATCTCAAACCGGTGCACAAGGTCTTTTGGCATCTGCTCCTCTTTCAGAGAGAGYAACTCCAAGCGCCCTGTAGGTCTCTGCTTGATTTTTCATACAAAAAGCAGCATCATCCTTGCATGGTAATGTACACTGCCATCTTACCATCTGTTAAGCACCTTGATTTGAGGTCAAACACCATCCAGTCTTGCTCATCTTCCCTGCGCTCAACATGGAGGACGTCSTGAAGGCTGCAGACAAACTCCAACATGTCTACAAAGCCAAGCTTCCCCACAGAGAGACTCTCTTTAAAGTGTGCCTAGTGCCAGGAAACAATAAAACCAACAAAAATGATATTTTTTACAATGCCCACAACCGTATTCTACACGCTGAGAAGCGTTAAGATTTACAACGAGCAATAGGTTGTCATATCTCAGACTATTAACAGATTTTGGATTATGAGGAGCACTAGCTGTAGGGGAAGTCTCTAAGGAGGCAAAAGAGAAGAAATGCTGGGCTTGAGCTTTCAGAGGATATTTGAAATGTTAAGGAGAAAACGCTAAGCCCCACAAACAGTTCTCGTTCAGAAAACATCTTCTAAGCATCTCCCAGCCAGGATCAGAAAACTGCATGCCTGTCTCCTCTCTTCAAGGAATGTCCCAGTCTAAAGAACTACGGTGACAAAGAGACCTCACTGGGTAACTATCACTTTGCTAGATGGCCACTGGGATGGATTTTTATGATTGGATTTTATGTGAAAGTGTGCACTGTGGCAGAAGTAGCTTAAGCAGCAATAAAAGAAAGTACCACCTCTCAGCTTTGACTCAATCATACTTTATACCATCACAGGTACAAGGCTACCTCTAATTTTAGTGAAAAGAAATATTAACACCAGTCGTAAGACTTACCTCAAACTCACGATGGAGCTTGGAAACAAGTAAACCATCTGGATACTTGGCTACGACCTACACAGAAAAGGAGACACCGTTGGTAGGCAGCTGCAGGCTCAGATACACGTGCAGACACACGGCCACTAGCCTGTACATACACTTAACCAATGTTTGTAGAAGCTGGACATCACACCCGGACATGCATGCTTATTTGTCATCTCACTCAATGTCAATCCCATCTCTGCTGCAGAGCTTTAATAGCTATCAAGAGCATTAGAATAAACGATGGTTTTCAAGGTGCTTACACAATGGAGACAAGTCCATGGAGACAAGGACACATGTCTACGCTCAGGGAAACGACAGTGAGCAGTAGAGAGCAGCATGTGTGAAAGATGCTCAACTAACAATACTTACACTTCGAATTTTCTCCTTGAGGGCCAAGCTTACTGTTTCTCCAGCTCCTTTTTTATACAGCATTATCTTGAAGTCTTTCTCCAACTGTAAAGGAAAAAAAAAAAAAACAAAAACAAAACAAAGCAAAAAACCCAGAAGCACGTCAAGGCATGAGCGTGGAAGGAATTCCAAGACTCATGACAATTCCTGTTAATTAGATAAATCAATTGCGAGAGAAGCAACACGAATGCATACATTAACAAAGAAAATGCGCATGAACAACATAAGTTACCCAAAGTTACGAAGATCTGAAGAACAGAGACAAGAAAAAGACCTAGGTTTGATAGCACACAAAGCTATACAGCAGGCTGGCATGAATCTCAACACTGCCAAACTCATCTAAAAGGAGTATTAACACTTTTTGAAGAGGTAGTGCATTCAAAACACAACAGAAGTGAAAAGCAGTAAGAGTCTTTCTCCCAGGATTATAACATAAGAGCTACAAATCCCTCGCTCAGCCATTTACTTGTTTCAGTTTATCACCACCATGCACTGCTTGCGATTCCTCTGGTTCTGACTTCCCTTCAACGGCCTCATGGAAGCTTTCTGTGTCACAGCTGGGGTCTGGAGGAAGTATCTCAACTGCAGGGACTGCAGAAAAGACAGTAACCTGGGGTCATATTCTTTTGCAAAGTGATGCAATGCTACTTATTAAGAAGAAAATTATCCCCCCCCCCCAAAAAAATATTAAGGCACCAGCGCCCTTTTCCTGATCTCTTGAAGCATTCACAGCTATTGCATACACCGGCATTCACTAGAGACACAACTCAAAACAAAAATTTGCTCCTGAGAACATGCCAAATAAACTGACAGACTGCTGCTGAAAGGAAACTTCCCCAGAAAAGTCAGAATTTGACAGGCACTGTATTGGATTTTCTGCTCTGGCACAGGAACACTGGGGATACCTGCAGCCTCTTCTGTTTTTCTTTGTGGAACGTGATAGTTGTTACTGTTCGTCACAACCTACTACACCTTCAGCCTCAAAAGAAGCATTCAAGAGACTTTAGTAACCGGTAGAACAGCCATTTGGGAGACCCTTCTAGTTTTGTTACCCACTGCCTTGAATGACCGAGTATTCCAGCCCTGCACAGGTGTTCAGAAAGCCCATGTTCCCTCTGGGCTAAACCACATCTCTGCCACCTGCTACTTCTAAAATGGGGAGAGGAAATCTTCCAGTTACACTCTCTGCTGTCAAAACAACACCCCTGCAATAGGCTGCACATGCAGCTGATCGTGCAGCATCCCACAGCTCTTCTGTGCCAGGTCTTAAGGGGAAACAGGACTATTACAGCAGYTGAAAATGTACCAACATCCACCTGAGACAGGGCTGATTGGTCATACACAGTACTTAAAAGAACTATGAATTTCCAGTCGACCTGGAAATTTGAGGCTTCCTCACCCTGCAGGGTCTTTTCCTGCTGCTCTTCAGTTGAGCTCTTCTTCAGGGTCAGCAAAGAGCCTGCTCTTGACTGTTCAATTGCGATAATATCAGACACACTCCTGAGCATTTCAAGCATGGAAAAAAACCCATACTGCATGTACTTGAACGCCCGACCGAAACGCCTGGAGAAGGCCTTATTGAAGTCTGAGAGCAGAACAGGGGAGGAACTCAGCAGATCCTTCAGCTCGCTCTTCACTGCTGCAGGCAGGACAGGAGGAGCCCTGCCCCGCCGAGGGAGCCTCTGCTGATTCCTGGAGCAATGGAAACCACTGGCCCTTGGGGCAGCGCTCCGGCTCTTCACACTTGTCCTTTGTTTGGATATCAGCTTGGCAATGTCTTTGGTGGTCTCATCTGCAACAGCTGAACAGAATAGAAACTCTTAGAACCACTGAAACAGTAAATCACCTGAAACTCTACACAGTTAAAACTCTTTTCGTTCTCTTCATCTGCTCTGGATCGGATTTAGCCAGCAAAATCCAGTTTGCATCCCCGTCATTACAAACACAGATCAAAGTGGGAAGTGTGGTCAAACAAACAGGATCAAAAGGGGCAACCAGCTGCAGCAGGTTTCATTGGAAAAGACCTGAAGAGCTCACTGCCCTCCTCAGCCAAGATCATGTAAAGCTTTACTATAACTTAATAGTACCAGGCCGCTGACGGACTCGGAGTCCTTTTCAAAAGACCCTTACAGAAAAAAAAAAAATAATAATAAAGCACAAAAGCTACTCTAGGGAACAGAACCAGCTGGCAAGGTCTCCCCTGAGGGCAGCCCAGGTCTTTCTCATGCTTCCAGGCAACTCCTCATCCTACAGGAGTGCTCTATGAAAACATCATTTCATCCTCCCCAACCAGGACTTTGCACCCACCACTCCTTCCCAGAGACAAAGAAACCAAGAGAGGTTCTTTGACAGAGACCAGGGSGTCAAGGAGGGAAATGTTTATAGACTGAGGCCTCATTCCTGATTTTGGCTTCTACTGTGCTATGAGTTTTAGAAACATTAATGGCAGCTAAACCGAGAAGGCAAAATGGAGAGAAATAACTAAAGATTTTTTTTTTGGGGGGGAGGGGGAGGGTTGAAGAAAAAAAATCACCAAAGGCAAGATGTGAGACAGAAAGCTTTAGGAAGAAAAACCTAACAGAGGGACATGACCCATATCTCTGGGAACTCCTCCTGCAAACCCCCATGTTGGAGCCTCCCTCATGCCCTCCTCGGAAAAACCAGCCCTCACCTTTGAGGATAAAGGCGTCTTTGCCGTGGGGACAGACTGTGACCACCTCGGGCATGGCGGCCACCAGCTCCATGGTGCTCAGGAAGCCCAGCTCGCCCAGGGGCAGTGGCTTGCCGATCATGGCCCGGTACTCCTGCTCCAGCTGCGCCGGGCTGAGCCCCTCCTTGGCGGCCATCAGCAGCGACCTCACCTCCTTCTTCAGCACGTCCATGAGCCGCGCCTGCCTCGACATGTCTGCGCTGAGGGGCGAGCACAAGTGAGAGGGCGCGGCGCGGCCGCTCCGCCTTCCCGCCCTGCTCCCCGGCGCCGCCAGCCCCACAGAGCGCCCCCTGCCCCACACCCACCGTGGCGCCACCGCTTCCCGCCCCACAACCGCCACGCGGCTGTGGTGCTACCTGCCCACCCCCGCAAGGGCTCCGCGTGCCGCCCAGCGCAGCCCGCCAGAGCTCCGCGCCGCCTCGTGGCCGCGCCCGCGCGCGCCGCCTCGCCCCGGGCGCCAGGGCGGGGCGGCCGCCATGAGCCGCGGGAGGCGCCGCGTGCGCCGGCTCCTGCCCGAGGCGCTTTGTTGCTGCCCGAAATCCCCTATTCCTGCCCGAAATCCCCTACTCCTGCTTAAAAGCCATCGCRCGCTCTGCCCCGCATGGTCTAGCGCTGCGCCAGAGCCCAGTGAAAGTGGCTTGTGCCCCTCAGGTCCCCAGCACGTGACAGGCATGTGGTGAATTCCCCCAGCCAGCCCTGATTCCCACTGCCTAAGGTCCTAATAAAGCAGGAATCCRAGAGAAAACACGGAGGAAGCAAGGCTGGTGCCTCCTGCTACTCCGTGTGTGGGTGCTCATGCGGCTGTCCCATGGGGAACACCATGACCTGTCCTCCCCCGGCCAGGCGATTGCCGCCCTTTGGGTTCCTCCAGGCCAGCAACCTTCCTTTGAAATGCTTTTCAGCAGCTTTGGTGAAAGTGCCTCCTAAAATCCTTCCCAGAGCTTTGGGCTGTGTTTTTTTCCCCAAAGCCAGGCAGAGAGATGAACACCCACATGGATGCACCCTGCTCTTCCCACACTGCTGGCAGCGGCGAGTCGAGCGGAGCAGCTGGGGAGCAGCTTGCTCGTGTCACTGCTCACCATGTCCAAGGAGCCCGTGACACATTTGGAATGGGCCTCCCACATCCATCACCGCCTCCCCTGCCCAGTTTTCCTGCCCGCAGCAATAAATTCAAGCACAAATTCATCACACCGCCACAGGCAGCTGCGTGCTGCTCAGCTCGGAGAGCCACATGAGGATGGATAAGAGGTCTCGGAGCAAGTCCAGGGAGTCGCACAGGAGGAGCGGGGAGCCTCCGGCCCCGCCGAGCAAACGGGACAAGAGGGAGAGCAGCAAGGGAAAGGGAGACACAAAGCAAGAGAAAGCAAAGGAGGCGCTGAGCAGCGCAGGGACTGAGGGCAGGGTGCACACGTCCACTGTGGTGGACGTGGACGAAGTGGTATCTGATGAAGAAATGGAGGCGATTGCATTGCTGGACAGCGAGCGGCAAGAGGAAGGTAACAGACCGTGGAAGGGAGGGGGCAAAACGCGATGGGCTCGTGGGCTCTGCGCGGCAGGCGCCTTGGCACCATCCTGCACGGACAGGTATTCCTTGGGAGACCCCCACCCTCCCAGCTGCTCTGTAGTGAGCAGGGGCAGAGCAGTGCTCAGCAGCAGAGACAAACTTGCAGCAAGCAGTAACACGCTCAGTCTGCCCGCATCTGCGGCCTGCTCTCCTCTCCTGCTCGTCTTGCCGGAGGTGGAAGGAGCCTCCTGGGATTCCAGCCCAGGCAAGCTGCCCCTTCCAAGCCTTTTGATAYTACTCAGCAGCATCAGAACTTTAAAATAAAGCCTCTGGTAAAGGCATTATGCATGGAAGCATGGAGACCAAGCTCAATTTTTGCCAGCAAAGTAGAGAAAAAAATGTATCAGGTTGCCCCCCCACGCTGCCTAGACATGTGGAGCAGAGGTTGTTATTTAACACAGCTCCAGCAAGAGCCAAGGGCTCAACCAGGGCCAAAGAAAAGACAGAACAGAGATCGAGCTATGCAGGCAAGTCTCAGCACATCACCATTCCTTAATGCGGTCATGCTGGGTTTCTCTCTAGGTGTGAAGTCTCCAGGTCTGGGCATCTGTGAATGGCTTCTGACCATCTTGTCTTTCCTGTTCATCATAATGACATTCCCCGTTTCTGTGTGGTTTTGCATGAAGGTGAGAACAGCCACGGGACCTCTCTAAATTTAGCAACTAGTGTCTGAGGTGGATGCAACCCACTGACTGAGTATACGGCAGGCACTACCATAAAACTTAGTTGGTCTCTTGTTTGCCTTTCATCAGTTAATCATTAATTTTACCTAGTGCTTTTTTCATATATTGCCACAGCAGGAGGGCTGCACAGGGGCCCAACCGTTGTCTGTAAAATACTTTGACTGCCAGGTTTGCAGAAGAGGCTTCAGTTCCTCCTTTTTAAAATAAATTAGAGGTGTAACATTTCTGTTCACTTTTAAACATAGTGAGGAGGTAGCTGCATTACGGGGCATTCACAGTGCAGAGGGGCCCCAGCACGCAGCTGAGCGAGGCTCCTTTCCTCAGGCTCCAGCCTTTACCTCCAGCCTAGTCTCTCTCTTTTTCCCCCCGCAGGTGGTGCGGGAGTACGAGCGAGCCATCGTTTTCAGGCTGGGGCATCTCCTTCCTGGCAGAGCCAGAAGGCCTGGTAGGTTGTTCCCTCAGCTCCCTCTCTCCATTTCCCTTCTCACCTGCTCGTGCATTTTTAGCTCTCCGACAGGCCCAGCCAGACAGGAGATGACAAAGCCATCAGTTTCTGATGTTCTTTCTCATACTGACATTGTCACAGATTTTGAGCCCATATAAATGTGTATATATATATATATATATATTTTTTTTTTTTTTTTGCTATTCCTTTCTAATTCTTCTTGCCAACACCTCTCCTGGTCCCTCAGAACACACAAGAGAGGTTCTGTGGTTCTGGTGATCACTAGCTCTCTGTGTCTCTCCCCCTCACAGGCCTTTTCTTCTTGCTTCCCTGTCTGGACACATATCACAAGGTTGACCTCCGCCTCAAAACACTGGAGATCCCTTTTCACCAGGTATAGCTCCCCAGCCCTACATTCACTCTTGGGACGTTTTAGCATTTCACTTCCCTGTGACTGGCCTTGGCAGGCTTGAGGTCAGTCCTCRTGCTAAGAAAGCAGCATATAAGTAATACAGTGATTCTTTTTCCAGGTGACAAAGCACCAACGTATTGGCCATAAGTCAGTGAGCAGCACTGCCCCTTCTCAGGGTCTCACTGAAAACCAGGCCTTCTTGGCCAAATCCCAGCTCCAGGGTTCACGGGAACACAGATGTCGTYGTCTCCCTCGTCTTCCGACCTTCGTGGTTGTGTAGAAAAGATTGAAGGAAAAAATAATCTCAGGGTTTCCCTAATGCCTCAGAAAATAGAAAGCCAAAATATACCAACCATTGTTTATTGTAAAAGCAGGGGTCCTGTTCAGGCTGAAGTGCTTTAACAATACYATCCAGCCAAAGGGAGGCGGTTGGGCTACAGGCATAGGACTAGTTTTTTACCCACCCCACTGAAGAGGAGCAGGAAGGTAAGACCTTGCAAGGATGTCCCTTGGGGCGTGGGGAGAGCTGCTCCACAGGCCTGGGAAGGAAGAAGGGCTGAATCTGGAATCTGTGGCCCCCCCTACTCACAGTTACACAGGACAAACATGTAAGAGTTTTCCCAGGGTCAATCAGCTCCTCCAAGGGCTGGGAGCACAAAGACTTAACCATTCAGCCAGTCTTCCTCAGTCTTGRAATCACCTGCTTCTTGCAGACCTTGCCAGACTTGCACTTTGGCAACCTTGGAGTTGTCAGAACTAGCTCCATTTGCCTCATTTCTCCTGCTTAGGTGGTGACCAAAGACATGGTTACTTTGGAGATAGATGTTGTGTGCTACTACCGTCTGGAGAATGCCTCTCTCCTGCTCACCACCCTGACCAGCATCTCCACGACCATCCAGCTGCTGGTGCAGACCACCACAAAGCGCCTCCTGGCCCACCGAGCCTTCTCCGAACTCCTACTGGAGAGGAAGAGCATCGGCCAGGAGATAAAGGTGCTTCCACCCAGGGAGAGCGTGGGCCGAGCAAGGGGTGAATTGAGGCTCTGAAGAGGTGCTGGGAGTGGTTAGACTCCCAGAATCACAGATGTTGGTTTATACAGGGTGCAAAAACATGTAGCCCTTCATAAAAAATGGGACATGTGCTTTGAACTCCTTAGGGGAAGAATCTAGGGTGTGGCCAACAAAGGCAATAGGGATAGGTATGATGTGAAGGGAAGGAACACCTTAAACCAGCTTAATGAGTGCTCTGCAAGAGCCTCTCTTCACTGCTTAGCTCAAAGAAAAGATTCTTATAGGGATTTTATTCTGCAGCCTGACCAAGTTGCCATTAGCCTTGTGTGTAAGTGAGCTGTAGCAGCAGTTCCACAGTGCCACAACACCTAGACAGATGAGGCTGGTCAGGAATTCACTTTCCAAGGGAAGTGAATTGGYTCAACGCTCAAACCAGTATGGACAGATTAAATTGTGCAAAACTTATAGGAGAAACAAATCAAAAGTGAAATGAAAGAAACCAATTCAGTTCTGAGAGGCCACAGACAATAGCACGCACAAACTAACAAAGCTGCCCAGAAGTCCTACTGTTAACTGCCTTGAATTAACATCCCTGCACACTCTGCTTCCCCAGGAGGGGCCTGGGCAAAGGATGTTCTCCCTATGCAAAAATACCCTTTTATTTGCAGGTGGCCCTGGATGCTGTCACAGGCTGCTGGGGGATCAAGGTGGAAAGAACAGAAATGTAGGTAGGAAGTGCCAGGAGAGGCACCTACAGTGCTCTGGTCACTACTGCCAGCTGTCTTTCCTGCTTTTCCTCCGACTAGCTTTTCCTCTGCCCCTTTCAGCCTTTGCTTAGGGTAAAAATGCAGTATAGCACTTGCTGCTGTGCTGGCAGCAAGGGCAGGATCCTTCACRAGGATCTCATTGGCATTTTGCTCCTGTTCCTGGCAGAGTTACARCCACATGTGGTACCCTGGACTCATGGATGACCCCCAACCCCTCTGTTTCCTGGTCTAGATCCAAGGTCCTCGGGTCTCAGCACTGGATAGGAGGGGCTTATGTCTCAGAAGCCCATGGGGAAAGGTGGGCCTCGCTCATCACACAGAGGGCTGCGGAAGTGGGAGCCGAGTGAATCTGGGTCTAAGCAATGAATAATGAACAAAAGGAAAGGCCTGTGGCTGTGTCTTATGAGACATCAGAGCCTACTCTCAAGAGACRAGCATAGGCCTCAAGCCTTAAAGACATAAACAGGATACAGAGTTTGCTGTCAAGCAATCACAGACACCTGGTTTCATTAAAAAAGCACACAAACAGAAGAATGGGAATAGTAGAAGGCCCAAGCAAGAAAAGGGGCAGCCATGGAGTTCAAAGCAAAGGACATTAGCTAAGAGCTTTACAAAGACTCTGGAGCCAGGTCCARGCAGTCTGACTGGGCGCAGACATGGCCTGTCCTGTCCTGGGGGGCCCTCTTAATTCTCGTCTCTTACACAGCAACAACGTGCAGCTGCCTGCTGAGGTCCGCCAGACCCTGGCTGTGGAAGCAGAGGCTCAGAGACAGGCCAAAGTGCGGGTATGCCAGCGCTGAATGAGCAGCTTCCACCTCCATGCAGAGCACCCCTCTTTCCTCTCATACCTCCAGCAGTGGTGCCCAGAATATGTCAAATTAGGGTCCAGCTCTGGGCAAACCTATGTCCTTTCATTCCTGTCCAAGAGCTTTAAGGGGAGCTGTGGTAGGACGCCTGTCTACCCAGTGGAGTCTGCCCAGAAAGCCCAGATTTGTGGTCTGCCTTGTAAGTAGGGCAGAAGGATGCACAAGTCTGGGGCTATCTCCAGCCCACAGAGCTTGTGGAAATCTTGGTCCTTCCCAGGACAGAGATTTGCTCTCCCCCAGGGCCACAGCCAGGGCTCTCCCCRCTCCCATGTTCCTTTCTCACTTTGTAGAGTCTTCTCTACATGTTGCGAGTTCCCAAACTCTCAGAACATCAATGTATTTCACACATGCTGTGATCTTCAGAGAGCAGAAATGTTGATTTGCATTGGCCCTGGGGAGACGGTGGTGACGGCCTCTCTCAGCACYGAACAGTCCACGTTTCTGTAGGCCCAGCCTCCTTAACACCCTCTATGTTCCCTTSGCGGCAGGTGATTGCTGCCGAGGGAGAAAAGGCTGCTTCTGAGGCCCTGCAGATGGCAGCGGAGATCCTGTCCAGCACCCCTGCTGCTGCTCAGCTCCGCTGCCTTCACGCACTGCACTCTCTCGCTGCAGAGAAAKCTGCTGCCTTCATCTTGCCCTTGCCTTTGGACACCGTGAACCTGGTCTCCCCGGGCACCCGCAGTCCCGCAGGAGCRAACAGCCTCCTCCCGGACAACAGAAACCTCCCAGAAAGCCTGAAGGACAAGACGGACTCGCCCATGCTGTGAGAGGGCACSTGGAGGCAGTCAGTGCCCCAGTGAGCCCCAGGCGGGTGCTCTGTGGCCCAGCACCACACAGGGGCCAGAGGCGGAAGGAAAGGCGGCCTCTGACATAAAATGGGTTGTACGTGCGAGAAGCTTCTGTGTGATTTGGAAAGCAAAAGAACAGGGAGCACAAGGGGCAGAGGGTATGAGCAGGGGTCAAGGGAAGAAGGGAGCCTTCCTTCCTCCTGGCCAGACCTACCCGACTCCTGCCTCTGATCCTTTCCTCACACCAGTAGGAGGGACAGAGTAGCCTCTGTTATATTTAAAAGCCCTGCATCCTTAAACTCCCCTCCCAACATGAGCTGCAGGAAATTAAGGTGTAGAAAACCTGACAGCAGGATCAAGGCAGCAGGCACAGACTGCGCCCGTGTCGGGGGATGTCTTATCAGAGGCTTTGGTCTCTTGGAGGTCTGGGAGCTGGGTGGTGGGACAGTGCCCAGGAACTGTTGCGTTGCCCGGGCAGGAACACACTCCTTTCATAGTGCATCCCACGCAGGGTGACCTGAGAAAGACACAGCAGCGCCAGGGGGTACAGAAGGGACCTCTGCTCAAGGGCCTTTTCCTTCAGTGTGAGCGCCTGGGGATAGGAAGGAGAGATGGGACAGAGCGGAGGTGCCTCAGCCTRGTTCCCTTCCAGCTTCCTGCTGCACGGGGTCCCTGGAGGAATCCTCCATGATGCTGGAGGCCAGTCACCACACACATACACATTAACATACACATGCAACGCATTTAGCCTCTAGTCCTGACCTAGGAGGCGAAGAGGAAGAAGGCAACATTTTAAGGCTTGGCTCATGGAGCAGGCTGTGCTGCTGCTCACTTCCACTGGGTGGTGAGCCAGGATAGCAGCTGGGATGTGGTTGCTYGCGGTAGGGTTGCATGTCTCAAGGGAGAAGGCATCTGCTTAGGCAGCTCCCGTGGAGCTGACGAGGAAGAATCCAGCTCCGCATGGGCAGGCTGGCTACCTGCTCTGCTCCTGCCCTTGGCCATGACCTGCAGCACCTCCCTGTGCCCTGAAGCCCTGCTCAAGAGGAGTGCTCTGGTGCCAGCGTATAGGCCAGCATGGTCTGTAGAGGCTGAGCTAGGGAGCACTTGGGGTCTCTAACTGCCTACCATGCCAGTCTGGCCAGTCTCTCACTCTTGTGTTTACACTATTTTGTTAACCCCTCTCTTTGGCTGCTAATAACTCCCCTAAGCTAGTACCCTTACCGCTGGTACCAACGCCTTTAAAATCGATTGTATCATAAGAGGGACTGCACATACTGGGAGGCACAAGCAGCTAATTTCCACCAGCACCAGGTTCTCTGCATTTAATCAGCCCTTCAGCTCCCTCAAGTTCCCAATACTCCAGGTTACCATAACATTCTCCAAGTAGCTGCACCTTTCTTAGCATCAGCAAGGTCATTTGTCAAACCAGCCCCTTTACAAGTAGCCTGAAAGTGGAAAATTTCCACCTGGAAAATTACAAGTGGCCCCACAAGCACCTGAGCTGTGGGTGCAACATCCTGAGCACACTTGACACGCAGCTCCACCCCCTCACTGCAACTTCTCATGAAGGACTGCAGGAGGGATATGATTCCAGCTCCCGAGTCCAGAGAAGATTTCAGTAGTGACCAGTCATGGAAAAACAGCTCTGGGAAATGTAACAGCTCGGAAACTGAGCAAATAGTCACTACTTGAAGGCTGATTCTGGCTATAACTCTTAGTTTGAGCAAGAGAAGCAACTGAGACATGGCATGACACACACCCCTTTTACAGTCCTATCTGAAGTCTGCCATAATTTGGGCAGTAGAACTTTTCTGCAGTATTCAATTATATTTATATACATATAATAATATATATATCACACGCACACATATATATAAATAAAAGACAAATGATAGCCAAGAGCATCCTCAACTCAAAAGAATGCACCTAGTTCCAGTACACACTGCTGGTAGAAATTTGTCATTTTACCTTCAGGAGATATCACTTTCAAAACTTCGCAGCAGAAAAAACATGGTTTAAGARTGTACTCCAGGATTCTTGGCATACGATGTTTCCAAAACAGAGTTTATTCGCAGGGAGTTGGTAGGGGCTGCCTGAATGCAGACGGGGTTCGTGACAGCTTCCCTGCTTGCTCTTCCCGGCTGGGACTGGGTCAGAGCGAGAACCACACCAAGTCTAGGCAGCTGCTGTAGGGCTTCCAGCATGTTACAAGCCACGTGGCTGCCTTGTGCTGGGACCTGGGGGAGGCCGAAGGCAAGGGCAGCAGCCTCTGCACGTGGTCCGGCCCGTGCAGGCCGTGGGGATACTGCACATGGGGAGCTGGGGTGGGCTCACACTGCAACTCTCAAACCAGAGCAAGACAGAGTTTAACACACCTCCTGCATCTGAATGCATCCAGGGGGTGAAGCAGAATCAGCCGACATAGTGATCACCAAGACGTGACCATCCCATGAYGCTGGCTGCTCTCCTGTGGTAACAAGCTGAGAAGGGCCCTTGAGATCATGCATGGGCTCAGGCTGCTTCCTGCATTCAGAAGATGAGGAAGCTCAKGCAGAGGAATCTGTACAATTTCTGTAAAATCTGTACAACAGCAGATATAGACCATGGGAAAGACCGAAGAACGAAGGAGGCATCTCCTCTCCAATATGCATGAAGAAACAATAACTTTTAAATAAAAAAAAAGTGAAAGAAAATAAAAAGATTAGAGTGATCAGAAATCTAGCCAGGATTCTGAATTTGGTCAAGAGGGTGCAACTTAAGTGACTTACAGTCAAGCCACACTGGCACTAAGAGAAGAAAAAACATCAGTATGAAAAGAAAGATGCAAAGGACAGATTCATTAAGGGGTGAGGCAGATTGAGATGGAGCAACAGAAGGGTAAACACAAGCAGGAGTGAAGCACAGGGCAAGGTCACAGGTGTGCAACACAGGCAGGAGAGATGTGGGTAGCATGAAGTCGAGGTAGCAATAGCAGTGCAAGAAGACAAGCTGCAAAGTCATTTAGTTTGTATATTTACACTGAGATCAATTCTAGGGAGTGCTGAGTCTACTCTGTGTGCAGGCACAGAGATGCTGCAGTAGAGGAGGAGGACGACGTAAAGGCAATGGCTTGGAGGTGAGATGCTTCTGTAAATGGGCACTAAGAAGCTTTCTTTGGGCATTGCTACTCAATGTTTGGTTTTGCGGGGTTTCTTGGGGCGACCAGAGGTAGCAGCTTTGGGTGGCGAAGGTGAGTGGGTCACAGCCTCTGGCACTTTTTCTGGAGAAGCCTTTTCTGAAAGGAAAAAAGAAAAATAAACTATATTAAAATACTACAGAGTGAAAATAGGCCTAAGATATCACATTATTAACTGGCATGCTTGCCCTGCTTTATATGGGAGATGGGATACACTGCCCAAGTGAACCAGCCCAGCGCTGAGCCCAAGCTCTGTGTGGCAAACAGGAGAGCTTTCTCAGAGCTCCACTGGCTACTGCCGCCTCTTTATGCCCGTCTAAAATCTTCTCCCAGGGGAATGGTGAATACCTCCCTGAGTTTTGCCACTGGCAGCAAAACTCCACAATAGTCCTGCACTAAATAGGAGATGAATTAAGTTACTCAAAGTTTCTTCTCTCTGCGTCCATGACAGGGCTCAGACCATTAATTTTCCTGACCTTCTTCTTGGTTAGATGCAACTTCCGGGGCAGATTTGGGCTCGTTCCCCTGCTTTTTCTCCAGTTCCTCGATTCTCTCCAGAGCTTCTTCCAGCTTCTCTTCAAGGCCTTCTGATTTCTCCTCTGCTCTTTGAGCACGGATTTCTGTTTCTCTGAAACGCAGAAGCCAAGATAATGCAGAAGCTTGAATCTAAGCAGTTGCTGGCAGGATACCCAAAAGAAAATACAACTGACTCTATAAAACACATTTACACAGAATCACAGAATCTCAAAAAATCTTAAGGTTGGAAGGGACCTCTACAGATCATCTAGTCCAACCTTCCTGCTCAAGCAGGTACACCTACAGCATGTGGCACAGGGCAGCATCCAGGTGGGTTTTGAAGACCTCCAGAGAAGGAGACTCCACAACCTCCCTGGGCAGCCTGTTCCAGTGCTCCGTCACCCTCACAGTAAAGAAGTTCCTCCTCATGTGGAGAGGGAACTTCCTGCTTTTCAACAATTTCCCCTTGTCCTGTCACTGGCCACCAATGAGAAGAGCTTGGCCCCTTCCTCCCTACATTCTCCCTTACACATACTTATACATATTCATCAGATCCCCTCTCAGCCTTCTCTTCTCCAAGCTAAACAGGCCCAACTCACTCAGTGTCTCCTCATATAAGAGATGCTGCASTCCCTTAATCATCCTGGTTGCYCTTCTCTGGACCCTCTCGAGAAGCTCCACGTCCCTCTTGTCCTGGGGAGCCCAGAACTGCACCCAGTACTCCAGGTGCGGCCTCACCAGAGCTGAGTAGAGGGGCAGGATCCCCTCCCTTGACCTGCTGTCCACACTCCTCCTGATGCAGGCCAGGATCCCCTTGGCCTTCTTGGCCACGAGGGCATGCTGCCTCATGGTTAAGTCGTTGTTCACCAGGACTCCCAGGTCCCTCTCCATGGAGCTGCTCTCCAGCAGGTCAACCCTTAATCTGTGCTTGTGTCTGAGGTTATTCCTGCCCAGGTGCAGGACCCTGCACTTGTCTTTACTGAATCTCATGAGGTTCCTCTCTGTCCAACTCTGCAGCCTGTCCAGGTCCCTCTGAATGGCAGCACAGCCCTCTGATTTCCCGATTTCTCCGATTAATATTTCGGAGAATGGCATTATTAAAAGGTTTATAGCAAACAGATTTCATAGCACAGCTGTGCAAATCCTGCAAGTTCAATTCATTTTGAAATTCAGTGTTCGTTAGCAAAGGATGAGGTATTGATCTTCATTSTACAAGGATAAATATGGAGTATGGTTCAACCTATTAGCCCGGCTAATGGGCAGGGATAACCTGGAAAATGTGGAATCACATTTAGCCATTGGAGTAGGTTCAGGACAAGCCCTTGTAGGATTCTGCAAGGAGCCACCTGGGTGCCTCTTCACAATGTTCCCGTGCTTAGGCTCAACATCACACACGTGCCTGCCCAGTTGCTGGGAGGCACTCAGCTGCAACCAGAGCATCCTACAAGRGCTAAAGGGTTCTGACCAGTCAAGACACCTTGCAAAAAAACATCCTGAATATCTCCATTGCTGCACAGAGCAATGCATCTGCACRCACCTAAGGAGCGGCTCCAATCCTAGAGCAAGATCGGAGCCACGTGCTGGGGATGGGAGCCTGCTCTGCTCCCGTCTCCAGTGCAGGAGCATTACTCACAAGATTCGTGCTTGCAGAAGTTCCACCATTGCCAGGGTTTCAAACTCTTTCTGAGAAAAGCAGGTGGAYGACTTGGTGGCAGTCATCTCCCCCTAGTTGGGAAGGGCAAAACCTTCTGTAAGCGAACATGAAATCAATCCTACAATCATTATGGCTGGAACAGACCTTCAAGATTAYCAAGTCCAACTGTAAACCCAGCACCACCCTGCCTGTTAAACCATGTGCCCAGGTGCCGCATCTACACGTTTCTTGAACACCGCCAGGGACGGTGACTCCATCACTTTCCTGGGCAGCCYGTTCCAATGCTTGACTACTCTTTCTGTGTAGAAGGTAGTGCATTTCATCCGCAACGTGTGCCAGGTTTGGTGCTGCTGCACAGCCACAACAGAAAAATGCTCAATGTCAGCAGAGCATGTAAAAACCAAGTCTAGTTAAAGCACTACAACTTTGATTAGATCAGCTTATATCTTGGCATTAAAAATAGAGTTATATGTTTTTCTGCTTCAGACATTAATGTTTCACTGGCTAATAGTACTGCACTGCCAGTGCATTCACTGGGCTTTGGAGGCTGCAGCCAGATCAGGAGCTGGTTCAGAGAACAGAAAGATACAACTCCTCAAAGGGCCCACAAGGCACAAGAACTTACTGTGCTTGGTCTGAAGCAAGTAACCACGATTTTTGTGGAAATGTAACTGTTAAAGGGCTCCTATTCTAAGCTTTGGAGGGTTAATTGTCATTCCCAGGGATTTGTTTTTCTAAAGACATATTCTTACATATGTCACTGCACTAGTAATGTGTGGGTCAGGCAGACCTACTGAGGCACTGCTAACTGTGCCAATGAATATTTTATAGTTATAAGAGAAAAAACAAAGAGAACACCAGCACCTTACACTGTCTCAGCAAGGTCTGAGGTAGGCATTGGCAGGGTCTGCTGAAAGACTCTGCCAAGGCAGCTGACACTGACTCCAGCTCCAGGTCTCTGCCACAAGCTAAATCACTGATGTGGTGGAGGTGCCTACCCCTGTGACTGAAACGATGTCTGACTTTAGAGACTTCAGGTGGATGTTCAAGTCATGTCCTACACATCTGATCATGTCCTCAGTTGTTTCATCGCCTTCAGTCAGGAAATCAGTGCCAACCCCTGGCTGCTGCCAAGAAATAAAATGAACAAGAAATAGAAATAACACTAGCTGGGTGCAGCTGTAACGACCTGCTTTCTGTGGAAATGTGACTGAGCAGCAACTAAAAGWGGCCCTGCAGGAAAGCAGCATGCTGCAGTTACTGCAGTCACCTGCATAGTGTCAGTTTTCTCCTTACTTCTAGTATTTCTTCCTCCATTATGGGTTTCTCATCAGTGCTGACATCCTCAGATTCAAGCCCTTCCTGAGGTGGAGAAATGACAATTTCCTTAAGGTTCAGTTGTAACACCTGTAAGGTATCGTAAGGGTCTGGTTAGTAACACACTCTCTGCTCATCCAGATAAACTAAGTAAAGGCTAACAACCAGCTAACCAGTCTCTCACTTGCTCTTCCACATGCTCCCCCCCCCMAAAAAAAACTGAACTATAAGCGCTTCTTTAAGAAAAATTTTTGAAACTAGCCTTCATTCAAACCAGTTCAACCCAGAATTGCAAATGCAGTATTGCATATAATTGCAGTATTATATACCTCTGACCTGAAGAGTTTCTGCATTTCTTCTAAACTCATAAAGGAGACTGGAGTGCCTTTGATCTCTGAAAGGATGAGATGACACGCTTGAATCCAGTTACAACACTCAATCTGAGAAGACATAACAGAGAAGAAGAATTAGCAAGCAGCAAATATATCTAGTCACGTTCATTTGTTCGGTTAAATAAATTCATCCTTTTGTGCTTATCTGTTCCAAGTAATAATCTCTGTCCTTGCATCCCTGTCTTACAGAGAAAAGCTCTTTGAACTTTCAGACATGGCATTTGTCACTGGCCAGTAGGAAACTTTGAGCACTGGGGGAATCCATAGGAGCAACAGTTTTCCTCCTTCATGAAGCCAGTACATATATTTTTTTCTACCTTTCACAAATGCAGCCTGGTGTGCCCCAAATCTGGAGGACAGGAAATAYAGGCACCTCTCACCTTGATCTTATTCAGCTCCTGCAGCTCCAAATCATCTTCTGAATCCTCTGACTGCTTCTTCCAAAGGATGGTGCTGACAATCTCCTGGCAGCAGCTGCAGAGATGCAAAAAGCCATCAGTCCTGCAACCATACCCTCAAAACGCTCTGTTCTCTTCAGTTAGGTTCCTGTTGTTCTCAGCAAGACCCATGGGCTGTCATCAGACCTTGGCACAAGGAAGTCTCAAGAGGAGTCACCCACCTCCACCCCACCACATGGTGACCTTGCAGACAGCCTCTCTGTGCCTGTGTTGCTCTAACACACAGAGGACACTGCTTCTAAGGAAGGCAGAGGCTCTGCTCCAAGGTCCTGGCCTGCAGGCTCTCTGCCTACACTGCCCTTACCAACTCGGGAGATCATCCTTAACCTTCACAGAGGGGGCAAAGCCCTTGAAGTCAGAGATGCCAGTATGTTTTACAGCAGAGCTCGGGTAGACATTCCCTTTCCATGTGCCCAACTTCAGCTACCTCTTTGTGAGTGAAGTCCTAACTCTGAGTCTGTAACCTCATGTCTAAGGACAGAACTAAGGTGCTAGGCTGATGTAGGCAGCAAGTCCTCAGGCTTCTTCCACGTAGGGCGACACATTTAGGACCTGGGAGAGGATTTAAGGAAAACCARATTTGGAACTCCCTTTTTCATCCAACACCTTACACTTTCCTGGAAATTTACAGGATCCTTTATTGTGATGAATTTCTCCCCATATCACATTTTCCCTACAGAAAACACTTCRATTAAATTAAAAACCTCCATTAGTACCTGATTATATAACTGGAGAGTCTGCTGATCTTGGCTACCAGCCCTTCGGCTTCTTGTTCCAGCTTACAAGCGCTCAGAAATCTGAGCTCCTTTTCCTTCTCGGCATCCTGTCGCGGGGGACACTCACGGCACAGACGGTCTGGGACCATGTACCTCAGCAAATTTGCCAGCCACAGCGTCAGGCTTCTGTGCAGTTCAGTCACCTGTGCAAAACCAAGCAAATTACATCAGTCATAAATGAGCAGTCTTACCATGCGTTCAAACATTTCACACAATTCAGTGTGAACTAGTTCAATTTGTAAATTAAGCTAAAGTTGGAAACACTTCAATTTACCATATTTTTCTCCTATTCTCCTTCCCACTCTGATAAACCAACTTTATTAGAGAGGTCTTTTTTTAATGTTCCTATGGCTAAAAGACAAKTTGCAATTCTCACCTCAAAGATGAGAAAGCAGAAGAGAGAGATGCCCCCAGCTGTGCTCTGGGCCAAGGAAAATTGGAGGGAAGAGTGAATACTGGATGTGGCGCTCACATCCCTAGCTGTTTCAAGCTTGCACTTACTTCTCGGTTAAGATGCGTGATGTTCTTCTCAATCTCATTATTCATGGACAGAATCCATTGCTGAATCATCTTAAACATTTCTATGGGGACCACTCTGAAAACAGTACAAAGCAAAACAAATGAGCAAACAACRAGCTTCAGTGCACCAAACACAGGAGTTCTAGTCTCAAAGACACCTTTTGCTTCCCAGCTCAAGAAGAGCTGCACATTTTGTGTGCTACATATTGGAATATGAAATAGGCAATTTGGTTAATGCTATAGTTGCAGGTGAACTTGTCATCTGCAAGTTTACATTATGCAGATGTGCTCTGCAAATAAAGCATTACCAAAGACAAGGGAGCAGCAAAAGCTAGACTCCAACTCCTGCAATTCTAACTGCAAGGGAATCACATCTTTTGTTTTCTCTTCTCACATCAAGCAGGTGGCTGTTCTGGGGAAGACAGGGACGATCCAGGAGCAGCATTATAGCCAGCAACTGTTTCCACGGACATTACTAAATCAAACCACGCGAAAGATAGCCGTGGATCATTTTAACAGCTCAACTGATCCCATTTCCCATTTGCATCCCAGCTTCCTCTCCTGGGTTCCCCACAGAAGAGCATTTTGCCTTTCTTCTGCACATAGCTTGCAGTGCCAAGGACACAACAAACCACTTTGTCCTTACGGGAGACACAATTTCTTGTCACGCTCATCCTCATGCGCCCGGATGGAACCCACAAAGCTCGTGGCTGTGTCCACTTGGGCCAGCCACATGGGAAGCAGGTGACGGAAGGTCTGCAGGTCTGATTCACGCATGCCTTGACCTTGCCTCAGCTTCTGTGCCCTGTCCAACCAATCTTCCATGCTTCTCACCAAGCCTGTCAAAAATTTAGCTGTGCCTGGAGGGGAAGAAAATAGGAACCTTTAATTACATTCCTGCAGCCAACAAAAACAAGCTCAGTTCAAAAATAATATCCCAAGAAGAAGGAACAGCCTATGTGGAAACCATCTAGATTTACGCTGAGAATGAACTATTTAACATGCACCAAATTTAAAGTAAGCTGAAATGGGCTTGATTAAAAGCCTTGACTTTCCCTCTTGCCTTGGCAGATTTGGCTGTTTGGTTGCATAAAGGGATGTAATAGCTTAATAYAAATCTCTTTAAAGAAAAAAGCCTTGGCAGTCACAACACCATCCTTAAAAGACTCTTAGCCCAAGGTGATGCAGTTCACTCAGACTTGCAAAGTGCCTGCACAAAGGCAGAAATTATCTGTTCACTGGAAAGAAGGGGAGGATGCCACCCTCCGTCTTTAATTTTCACAAGCTTTTAATCATAGCTGGAAGCTCAGAAGAGCAGTATCTCCCTTTCCTACTGAGAGGCAGGGTAGTTAAATTACAACACACCAATGAGTCCATGCAGTCCAAAATACACAACCCTGGGTGCATCAAGAGAATACTTTCATGGTGGTCCAAGGTCCAAAGCTCTTGTCCATAAAAGCTAAGATCCCTTTTTCTAGACTTTACTGCTTGAGGTGCTGTAGGATAAGATGCCTGTGCTGTACTGCTTAGCCCTTTGATTGACCACCATGAGACAGCAAGATTTCTGGCAAGCTGTGGCTATATTTGGAGTACTGGTGTCCGGCTAGTCATGTCCCCATTTCTCCCTCTTTCTCTCATTTTCTAATGAGTTCTCCTACAACTGTTTATTTCCTTTGGCAGTCCCATAYATCGGACAGACTTAATCCATCTTAGCTCTTTCAGTGAGCTTAAATATAAAACCCAGTATAAGACAATATTAAAAAAAAAAAAGCACAAGATAACCTTGAGTGAAAGAATAAAGTGACAGCATGAGAAAAAACTCAGTAAACACGAGTAACAGTTCTAGCCAATACACACTAACTTTAGCTTTAGTCTGCTAAAAGGAAATAAGATGATTAGAAAACATCAGYGATAAAACAATTCTGAAGTCAGAAATGCATCAAGGCCTTTACAGGCAAAGGTCAGAAAGGTTAGTTGCAAATTACCCAGCAAGTGTTTGTTATCTTATACAGAACAAGATAAATTTACATCAGCAATGAAAACACTCATTTACTGAATTATCATGATAAAACATGTATCTAGATGAAGATAAACGTGTAGCCACAACATGGTAATAAAAGAATTCTATTCTGAGACAGTATTTTCTGGTTAATGATCTCCAAAGCAACTTTAGATTTTCAAACCTAGATCTCTATTCTTTCATTTTACATTTATTTTTTCTTTTTCACAGACTAGCTACATAATCACAGGCTGTACCAACTCCTTCTGAATGCGACACACAAATTCCTTGCACCACATCTGTACTGCAGTGCTCTTTGATTGCACTATACTGCATTTCAGATTTCAGATGCACTTTCCATGCATGATTGTGAGCCAAATTTCTTCAGAGCAGATCCCTGGAACTCTCTCCATTCCCAGCACATATCTGAGGATCAGACTTGGGCTTTATGGAAAAAGTCAAAAGAGATTACACCAACTGCTTCTTTATTGGGCACTTTCCTGGAATACCTGAACTGCAGAATCGGTCATTTCTTACCGTTATCCCCACTTATCCTTATTTGATATTGTTGGCAGAGCGCGTGTGCTTTGTGGTTTATTTCTTCCATGGCAGCATGCTCTGGAGGCAACGCTCCGCTGAAGTCCCGGTGGCGATTCAGCACCTTGTGTCCTCGCTCTGTCCAGCGTTCCTGCAGACYGGAAACGTTCTGCAGGCTTTCCATTTTTGTTAGGTACGCCTCCCCTTCGTACTCCTGCAGGCTTTTGTTTAAGAGCTGGAAGAGAAGCAGCAARGTCACCGTGCCCCCAAGAGCTGGGTCAACTCTTAGCTGCAGTAGACGGGCAACRGAAATGGGTAAGAAGTACAGGGATCCACAAGCACAGAGATGTCACAGTCTAAGCAAATGACAAACTGAAAACCTACTCTGAGAGGATAACAATTTTGAGCGTTTCTACAGGTTAATATCATTTATCAGTCACCAGAGCTGTGCTCAAATGAATAAGTTTAATGCTTCAGCTGAGCTGTGATAACTGTTCATTATATTTTTTYCACGTGCAGACTCCTAGTTTAAGCTTCAGAACAAAAAACCAAACATTAAGCTGCTATGTTTCTTCTCACATTTGTGAYGGGCTCAGACACCCAGGTCAGCTGACAAGTGGTAATTTGCTGAGCAGATATCATTCAGTAATACCACCCACCCCCAAAATCTTACATTTTCTAAGTTCCTGATATCTTGCAGCATTTCATCCAATAGCTCTACCTTCACTGGAGAGGAACTAAAGCAGAGAGAAGAAAACAATAAGAGATGAGGAAAGAATCCCCCAGGAGCTGATGTGAAGTCAAAAGTCAAGATATATTTTATATATATGGAGTTTGTGATACAAGTTGCAACTTGAAAGAGACAAGACTCTACCCAGGCAGGAATTTTTGTGTTTTCATTCAACATTACAAAAGCACGGGGCACCAGTTAAGAAAATATACTATTTTCAGCAGAAAAGAGCATGCTGAAAATTGAATCATTAAGYCCATGAATAAAATGTCAAACATGCTTGCAGTTATGTTTTACTGCATTTAACATATGGCAATGTACGAACAAAAAGTGTGCAAAGTGYAACTATGTTAGTATACAAAGAGACCATGAGTGTGAAGTCTCAAGACTCTTAATGTCTCRTTTTGTCCATTATGCTCTATTAGAAGCATTAATACATGTGCATTCAGGTTAAAATTAACCAAACTAAACAGAAAAATTCTGTCATGACAATTGCAGGAAAACACAGAGCGCAGAAAGGAAGCTCTGATTCAAACAGGGTAAAAGCCTCTCTTCCCTGGAGTCAGCAGCAAACTCCCCATCCAATTCAYAACCCATCACCTTCCACAGCCTCATTTTGGAGGCACCAATATCTGTTAGGGACCTGATTATGAGAATGCATCCAGAAGCRGAGCAGTGGGTGATGTGCAAATCGTGGACCACATCAGATCACCTACTCCTTGGAGGCACTAAGGCAGGACAGCCTTTGCACTGGAGCAGGGCAACCTGCTGCAAAGCAGAGCAAAGGTGCAGGGAAGTGGTTGCTGCCACCCAGTCCCACTGTGCCACTCACAKAATATCTTCCTGGAAGTACTGAAGCCACCTAGCAAGGCCTTGGCGGGTGACAYGCAGTTTTTCCTTGACAGATTCCTCACAGGAGTCTATTTCTGCTCCGATGCAGCCCAGCATTAGCCTGAACTGCTCTGTCTCCTCCTGCAGATCAGCAAGGTCTCTTGCGTCCTGCAGGCACCAGGCAGGGGAACGGGAAAAGGAAATGTTGCTGTGACCCGTTCGATCCAAGTTGAAGGAACTTCCCATTTGCCCAAGCTGCTTTGAGACATACATAAGTCAGATGTGAAAGCTGAGAAGTTTTTGTAATTCCATGCACAGCCCTCACAAACCCTTGGGCAGGACTCAAGGATGCCTGACCCTTCCGCAGGATGCCAAAAACCAGGTGCCTGACACTTTGCTTTCTATTTGAAATGCAGAGACCACACAGCCACACACAACATTACACCAGTATTGATCTGTTCTGGTTTAGTGGATAAGGAACAGGGAAAATGAAAGAGGGGGAAAAAAGGAATATARAGCATGAAGGAAAGAGAAAGAGAAAAACAGATTAATTCAAATCTTAATGTTCATTTGAAGCTAGACCAACATTTGTAAGCTCAGGCCATATCCAGAGTACTGAACACTTTGTTGAGAGGTAAGCAGTTCCATAAACCTTCATGCAYGTGTGAGCGCTTGGAGCAGTTAACCACTGCAGACAAGTTCCTACCTGTGATGCCAAGAGGACTATGAAATGCTTGAGGACTTTGAACAGCGTTTTTTCACTGACGTAGAGCTTGCGAGCCAGTATGAGCTGGTTTCTGTCTATCACCTGAAAGAAACATTTATTATTTATCCTGTTGGGAGAGGAAGGGCACTGCAGGACGATGCAACTCCTGATAGTAACACAGCAGCTTTATTAACACAGCTCCTGATAGTAACACAGCAGTAACACAGCAGCTTTATTACCAGTGAAATGGAGTTCAAGCAGCCAAGTTCCCTTTCCTTGCAAATATACTTATCTCCCAGGAAGCCCCCAAAGTTCGGGTACCAAATTTTCAACTTGAAGAGAATAAGTAGACGGGGACACCCAAACAGTAAAGGACAGCGTTAACTCATGTTAATTTGTGAGGATGCCTAAGGAACCTGGCTAGAGTACTCTAAACTTTTTAGTCAAATTATTTCTGAACAGAAATACGCATTTCACAGATGTCCTTTCACACAGGACCTGAAAACCCATGCCAAAAAGATGCCGTGTGAATCAATTTGTTTCCATGCAAATGGAAATGTGAAATGCAAAGTTCAGAAAGATTTCATGGGAGGAATAAGATATGTTAGTACCCGGGAACATTAAATAAAAGGAAGATGAAATCTTCCCTTGGATTTGCTGGTTATGGCAATATGTCTTGCAGTATATGGCCGATCTTCTGCACCYACCTTCAGTGCCAGGTCATAGGCAGCTGAGCTCCAAATGTCTCTCTCTTGGCTTAGCAAGAGAATCTGCTCTTCCAGTCTGGTTCTCTGTAACTCATATAACTCCCTATACTCTTCCACAAGGCTGCAAGAAGGGAAAGACAATGGAATATGTGCACACCCCTTTCTCCTTAGCAAGGTTTACYGTCTTTCCTCAATTCCCAAAGCATTCCTTGGACACTTCCTGTCCCTCAGCCACCCCTCACCACCAGCCTATGAACTCAGTTCTTTCTCCCCGAACCCGCTACAACACCTTTTTGTTGATACTCCCACTGCGAGTTTCCAATTGGCAGGGATACAAATTTCTGCTAGGCTTGGACTAACTGTTATCTTAATGACACAAGAGCTATGTAAGTCACCAGCGCCTCAACACAGCTCTGATACCAACCACCTAAATCCTCCATTGCTGAACTATGTCAAGGTGYGCACAAGAATTTAGGATAAACGGCCAAATAACTGCATGCGCCACACTAACTGTCATCCTCAGAAGGCAATCAGCCCTTGTCTCTCCTTCTGGACAGTTCCAAAAGAGCAATACCAGCACACTTCAGCAACCTGAACTTTGAGAGCCACTCACTTTGCGTTCATCTCAGCCTCCCGCACAGCTTCAGTGAGCTCCTGTTGAGCTTGTTCTGCTTCTCTGGTCACCCTGCGGTCATGCTCTCGTAACTCATACAACTCTCTGGAACAGCAGGGAACAGTCTGAATGCAGTTTAGCACAACCTAAACATCACCTAAACCTGTCATGCAGGGCAAACCTGCTGTCATGCAGGGCTCCCTTCCCCAAACACAAGCATCTCCCTGTAAGGGGAAAGGCATCTTTAAGACTCCTCTTTCTACGTATGGGCATTGCTCCAGCTTATGCACATGGTGCTAAGGCAAGGAGGAGACCTCGCTGTCACTCCGTGCTCCTATACTGCATAGCTTGCAGCGCGAGGACACAGCATAAAGTGTGAGGAGGCTCTGGTATGGTTCCTGCAGGTCTGGCTCAAACTATAAAACTAACTCTCATTTCCTACTCCTAGGGGATGCATATGAGAAAACTGAACAAATCAATGKGCTAAATCCACTGCACTGAGATAATTTCTTAGCAGCAGGCAACCTTCAGACCTGGTCAGCTGTGCAACAGACTCCTTGAAATAGAACAACTCCTCTGTAATATGTCTGTCAAGCAAGCGCTGAGCCATCATTTCTCTGTAGAGAGTCTTCATGTGATGAGGAATCCGCTCCAGGAGACTCACATACCTCTGCCTGCAATGAAAGAATGTAAAACAGGAAGTTAGACCAGCTCTGAGGGCACAGCTCTCTCATCCTACCTGAAAACCCCTTCTTTTCATTGTGCAAAGCTCTCTAGTAGATCATCTTTTGACCAGTTGCACTTGGGATTTTGAACACTSCACCACAACCTAGCTGCTACAATAAGTCTGAGTGTGCACAGGGGAGAAGAGCACAGGAATCCTGGCACCGAAGGAAGCTCCAGTTATTGAGCACATGAAACATGTCCCTTCAGTGTCACATTCTGTGAGAGGATATGGCCGTGAATCCAGAAGGGACTCGGGGCACTTGGTTAAGTACAACCTGAGCTTGGAGAGCAGCTGTCCTCTCTCCACGCAGTCCACGCTGACCTGCCGAATCAGCTCATGGAAAACTATGTTGTAAATGTTCTGCTCTGCCTTCATCAGCTCCAGCACATTGTGCAGCTGGCAAAACACGTGAGAAAAGTCACAGCCTGGAAAGCTTACTCCTAGAACAACCACAATCAGCAAAGACTTTTCTTACATCTGAGACGGGTTCTCCTTTGAGGGAAAGCAAACAAAACCACGCTACTAAAGACAGAAAGAGGAAGGGGAAAAGCCATCCTAAATGGATTTACTGCTTCATCTGTAAAAGTGCTCTACACTGACTATTCTCCTGTCAGAGGACACAGGAGCTTTTCTGCTAAACTGAATGCGGTAATGTTGAACACTTTCCGTTCTGTTTTTTTTTTGTGCCAGGAGAGGAACGCCTGCACCAGGGAGCTAAATGTTTGTCACAGTCAGACCAAGACCAACAACAGCTCAGGAATGGAAACCCACAGTTAGTGCAAGGTCTCCAGGCAGTTGGCTTAGGTAGAAACTGATGGGAGGTATTTTAAACCCAGGAAGGATAAACATTGGGGAAAACAGGAATTAGCTTTTCTGGATACTAGCGAGTTATCCACCTGTGAAGGTCCTGATATTCCAATTAACTTGTTGTCCACTCCAGCTTTTTCCAACATGCTGTCCATGGCTTCCATCAGCTGGACAACTTCTAACCTCCCGGAAGGTTTCCTGTGACCCAGATGACAGAGATGCATCATTATTCTGTATAYGATGTTTTGTTATTTTACCAAGAAATGGAATCAACACTTCCCCCCGCCCCCTCCCCACCCCACACAGCAACTTCAGACAAGGTGGCAGCACTTACAGGGATGGGAATAGTCGTAGTGTCTTTTCACGGTCTTCGAGCAGAGTGGTGTATTTACTGAAACAAAGACAAACGTTAAATCTGGATTACAATTCAACCCCCCTGCCCAGTGCTAGGTGAGTAAATCTTTGTTGAGACTGCACAAGGCTGAGYGTGGTGGGAGAGGCAGAGGGGCAGGCTGGGTGGTCCTTTAGAGGAAATTGTGTAGGAATTGTGTTCTCTCCTCAAGACCTCTCYGTCTTCCACCATACTTGGCTGAAACCGACCACAGGGTTTAGAAGTAATTAGCAGTGTCAATATCCAAAGCAAATCTCAGCTTCTGATTTCAGGTCCAACCAGTAAAAGACACATCTTGAAAATTAGTTAGAGTATATAGAGTATATAGAGTATATAGAGTATATAGAGTATATAGAGTATATAGAGTATATAGAGTATATAGAGTATATAGAGTATATAGAG